GTCTAATGATGTTCTGATAACAAGCCTGGCCCTATTGTAATGTTTCCCATTCATGACTTTGTCTATTGACCCACTTGCACATACTGTGGATTCAACCACAACTTCCTCCAATCCACTACCCTTCATATATTTCCCCAATGCACCTATATATGCACACGTCATGTGGAATGCCCCAAGTTAAATGATGACATTCTTGAATCGATCTGGATACGTCCATACAATTCCATATGCAGCAGCTAGATCGAATGTAACAATCGTGTAGGGCTGACCAACAGCATGCGCAGCAGATGCCTCCTGGGAAATCGTTAGCACATGCATCACAGTCATGTTTTCAGTGATCGGGGCATTTACTGGAGGCATGTATTCCACTATTGATTCTCGTTCTTCCCTTCTCTCTCCAGTAAGAGAAATCCAACCTCATATCATGTCAGATACTTTGACGTCTGAAACATATTCTCTTGTTTGTTGAGGTTCAGTAATCTGAACACTAAGGCTGGGTTCAACATGTTTTTTGACAAAAAATTGCTCTATTATTTTAACTTCATCTGTCACTGATCGCATCTTTGTCCTAGCCATGACAGGTAATTCTTAATTGTCATCATTTGATTGGTCATTGACTGTCTCGTGAATCCCTAGATGTTGTCTCTTCATTGAGATCAAAATTGTCCCAACAGAAGTGCAGCACTTCATTACCTTGTGTTTTGGAATGGACTATCATGTGGAATTGGACTATCATGGGATTTTATAACCATGTGGATAGCAGTCAGGATTTCTAGTATAACTGAATATGACACACAGTGCCCAAATCTGTTCACCAACTTCACGATGTCTGCTCTTCCTTTCAACTGCCATAATGACATTCCAAGGAGTATATGTCATCCATCTAAAATGTTAGAAAACTGATTCTGGCCTCAACTTTCAAGCAAAAAAATTTCTTTTGTTTACACAATGACCCTGACCTTGAATGACCAAGGTCATGGTCATGGTCATCAACTGGGCATCATCAAAATTATATACATAGACATTAATTTCGAGTTTGTATGTTGTTTACTTACAGAGATATGTCCTATTCTTAGTTACTATCTACTGCATTGACCTATAATGATTTATTAGTATTCATAAAGTGAATACACACTCACCCACTTAACCTTGCAGCATCTTTCCTATCTGGTGGTGTTGGTGGTTTACCAGCTACAAAATAATCAACTACTATATTGAAAGAAGCAGCGATAGCAGTCGTGTTTGTTATATGTACATATCTCTTTGCGTTACAACCAAGGTTCACTTCTTCAAAATTGAGTGACAATGTTTCATCTGTTACCTCTTCCCTAGAATCAAAAACAAGTTGTTTTTTATGATTCCCACAATAATAGATAATAATAGCTTTACAATACTTTTAACATTTACCAAATTTGATTCAAGTTCAATACTTTAAAAGCTTCATCAAAATTAGAAGTGTTGAGACTAGAAAACTATCACCATATCAACAAAGACATGAGAAAGTATACCTGGGTTGAAAATCAGTCTTTGGTGTTTTATAAAATACAACTAATCCCTTGACATCGCAGAATAAAGCCAGATAGATGGGTCTATCCATGCCTTCCACTGTACATGGAATTCTACAATCATTAACTTCACCCTATCAACAACAAAACAATGAGTTTCATTACACATACAATCAGCAAAACTATCCAGTCAGCAAAACTATCCAGTCATTTCAGAATACTGTAAACAGCTTTAATTTTACAAGAGATACATTTTTGCAAATTTTATAAATTGATAAAAATCATGAAATGTTGGTACAGTGAAAATTTCAATGGTGTCTGAAAGACACTGAATCATGGTAACTTTCGTAAAATTTTGTTTTTACGAACACCATTAAATTAACAAATTACGTTAATTTTTAGCAGCAAAAACTAATTGGTTTACAGTATACACATCGGATACTGTATAATACCCACAAGTAAAATTTCTCAAACAAAAAATTATGCTTGCATATTGATCTTCAAAATGAAGTCTTGACTGAATAACGTTATTTTTATGAAAATACAACAAATTATGTGCATTGAAATTATTCCATTCATCAAATAAATTAGCTGATGTTTAAAAAGGAAAAATGTAGTAAATGTCATAAACAATGTTTACACAACACAGTTATGAGAAGAAAACTTCCATCAACACTAGAATAATACTCAACGTATCTTTGGACATATTTATGCATGTGAAGTATCAGTACCGGTATTATGCATATATGATGAGAAAACACTAACCGGTTGATTTACTGTGAAAGTGACATCTATACTGAGTTCTTCTCTGGATCCAAGACATCCAGTATTAGGGTTCAGTTCAATAACGCAATGTGGTGCATGTTCACCTTCAAGCTGTAAAAATAACACACACAGTTATATATATATAACTGTAACTAAGAATACAGCAATCTGATATACTCTTGTTTACTATTAATGTGATGTATGTGCCATATTCGCTCGGAATATATTATTTACGTTCATTTCATCAAAAATCAGTGGAAACATATTCCATAAAAGACACTCAAAAAATCTTTTCAGCAAAAATTAATTCCAGCTAAAATAAAATATTTTACAGTAGTTCATACTCTTAACATAATATCCTCACATTACAACATGCTTTATGACCCCTGCCCTTAAAAATCTTTGTACTTTCTGGGAGTACAAATTTTGTCAGTGTGAATTCTCAATTATATTCCCCCCAAAAATACAAGAAAATATCATTGAAGCTCAAAAACAGTTGAACATTGCACAAATTGATGTATAACATTGAAAATCATCACAAATTCATAAAACAGTCTGCACTTGCCTTCAAAACATTAGGACAAAAATACTTTTTTTTGAGTAAAAACTGAAAATTTATTCAAATTTTGTCTGTTGGCTTCAAAATTCATTTCCAGAAATATTGAAGAATATAAGGAAAATGTGCAGAATAATTTTGGCAAGTCTGGTGGTGAAAAGGTTTAAGCAACAATACTGAAAAAGTGTGATGAGGATCAATATCTTTAGGTTATGCATAAGGCATATTAATTTTAGCTATTTACCATTTAATATATACTTAACATTGAACCCCGTTGTCTGATCATTTGACTAAAGCACTTAAATTTCATACAGGACAAATTTTGTCAGATAAAATCTCAAGATTTTGCAGGTGAATTTGCACTGGGATCATCAATTATTGATGTCAATGCTCTTAAATCAAAAGACCATAATAATGTTATTGTGAAGTCACATGATAAATGATAAGACAGTGCTTTGTCTGATCTATTATTAACATACCTCTCCCCATTTATATTGAGCTGGTAACAATGTTTGATTCAGTAGTTTGATAGTATTTCTCACTGGCACACCAACATATACTTCAGGCATATTCAGTTGACATGAAAGCAGACAAGCTTGTGGATGTTGTACTTCAGCACATGCAGATAAAAAGCTACAAAAAGAAGACGTACTAGTCAAAATTTTATGCAATCATTGGGTTTGCATACACTCCCTAAAATCTGAAGATTTGTATACAGGTTTTTTTTTTGGTTTTTTTCTTAGATTTCAATTTGTTTCAACAATTTGAATCAGCCCCTGATACACATGAATCCTGACATCATTATCAGCTTGAATACTAATCATCCCTGGTTGCAGATAATTCAAGAACTCTAGCTTCAACACATGTTAATCATGAGATAAAGATAATCTACAACACTCTTTAGAAGCAGGAAGTGTAAAGTAATTCTTCTTACCTGTTGACTCCTTCTTCAATCATAATATCAAATACGGTGTTGTATCGCTTGCATAGTGTGGGCTGGAATAATACCTTAACAGTGACAGATCCAAGAGCAGACAGTTCTCCACCAGCAGGAGTGAAGACAAAATTTGAAACAGCCTGAGAAATATAATTGCAACATATTGAATAAATATGTGATTGCAGGAAAGAACACCATTATTTATTTAACATGTTCATGGTAATAATTACAAAAACTCTATTTGCTATCAATCTATTATACAAGAGGTTAACCATTATAAACTCTTGGTGGGAAGGGGGGTCTAAACAGAGAAATATTTTGGAAAAAAATGCTCATAACTATGTGAAAAAAACACAATAATTTGCATAGTTTCTAATGGTTAATTGCCAAAGTAACTGATAACTTGGGAAAAAGCACATGGACAGGTATTTAAAAAGTGTATGAAATTAGAAACTCCAGGCAAAAGCAATCAGAACAGTCAGGACCAATGGCTAAATTTGACGGATATGACTTGCGCAAATACCAGTGGTACAGTGTGTCAGTGAGATGGCCATAGCGTTCAGGTATAGTACTTACTGGTATTTCTGGGGAATCCTTTGACAGGAACTCATTACTTTCCTGTATCTTCCATTTAGCTGCAATCTGTGATGTGTTCTCAATCACAATATCATGAGTAGCACTTTCTCCATGCTTCACAAGACCAAAATCTAATGATGGGGTTCTTACAACAACTTCAGGACCCTGAAATCAATTTAATGTCAATTTTCTATGCAGCACACTGTCATATCACTTACAGCATGACAGGTATATTCCCTGTACATGTACAATGGTTTGCATGTTCTATGTTGCGGGTCCTACATGTATGCCTGGAGCCAACTGTTTTACTCAACAGTCTGTTCTGCCTTCCAAACAGTAATAGATGCACTTGCAATCAGCACCACAAACAAAAACTTACAAAAGAGACAGAGATGACTGAAATGAACACAATTGATATCAAGCACAAAAACATTTTTAAAAAAATGATAGGTATATTTATAATATACCAGATAAATTATTAAATTATGGCTCATTTTTGACCATGGCAACACAATTCTCGTTTATGTCAACTCAAATATGGATGCATGTTGATTGTTTTATTAGGAATGAATCTGCAATGGATACACATGCCAAAAATCGTTGTACTGGTTGGATTGGAAACCATGAGTGTCACACCTGAGGTTCTCACTAGAGTAGTTTGACAATGCAAGTTATCAGTAGCCTCTGCTATGATATTTTTCCTACAACAAGTACACACAATTCTAATACTACGGCACTGTACCTTGATATCAGCCTGTATCCTCAATGTTAACGGTTCAATTCGGTGTTCTATTTGACATATCAACGTATGATCTATTTTACCAGGTTTTCCACCAGATATACTCATGTTCATTTCAAATGTATCTCCTCCATCTATCTCACCCTCAGGATGTTCTATTTCGATAATATGGCAGTCTCTCAGAGATGACCACTTGTATTTTGCTGATGACATACTGTGGTTTTCCATCTAAGTAATAATTACAGTCAAATCAAATTACACAATGCAATTATAAGATTATAATTTAAAAATAATTTTGATTTAATTTCTTCTGTGAATGCATAATTTGAATTTGGTTCTTCAGTGATTGGACAATTTGAATTAAGTTCTTCAGTGATTGGACAATTTGAATTCAGTTCTTCAATGATTGTACAATTTGCATTCAGTTACCCAATGACTGAATACTAGTAATTCAAATTGAAGAGCAAAAATACAAAAACACAGAATACTCACCAAAAACTGTCTTCTGATTGTGGTTGTAACTAATAACTTCCCTGGTACAACTATAGCATATGGCTTAACCTGTACATCTAATGGATCACATGCACCTTTGATTTCAATTTCCAATCCAGTCATATCCTGCACAGCTATCTCATCTGGAGTTTTGGGTTTACTACTTTGCATACTGCTAATACTTTCAGACGTGCTGCGTCTCTCATCATCAAATCCTTCATCTTTGTAATGTTGCACATTTCCTTCGTCTTCTTCTTGTTTTTCTTCTAATTGTTGTATTTCAGGTATCTGTTGCAGTATGAGGTGGACTGTATCGTGGTAATCACCAACCTTGGTGTTAAAATATATGAGACATAAGTTATAGAGTCAATAACATAAATTTTAACATCACTAGGCACAGAATACAACACACATCTCTACTTCACAGTAAAACTTTTTCAATAACAAAAAGTTTTGGTTTTGGTATTCGTACATTTTTTGCTCTAATAGAAGTGCAATTACATTAATTGTATTCTTGCTTATTAAAATAGCAATTTGTTTTGATTTGATTTATATATTTGATGCAGCAATTGCTTCATTTCATTGTATTCCCAAATTTCCACTGAGGGTATGCTAACAATACATATTAAATTATTATTACCAGTAATATATGCAAATCATATAGAGAATGGACTTGACAAGGTGATGTGATAAGTTTCAGTTCAAACAGGATTTGTTTTATTCATGATTACAAGTTAATATAGATTCTCTAGATTCAAACAGATTTCATTGTTGAAAGAAAATAGCTTCCCACCTACCTCCCCAGGAGGAGTTATTCCATATATACAAGTACATGTGTACTGTTTGATGTTATTCCATATATACAAGTACATGTGTACTGTTTGATGTTAGTTCATATATACAAGTACATGTGTACTGTTTGATGTTAGTTCATTATAATTTATGTTTTTATGGATAATAACAAGGATCCATGATGGAAAATACATATACCTTCATAGGAGCAAACGTGATGGTAAATTCCTGTGTATTATCAGGTGGTAATGATCCACTATCTGGTGTTATATAGAACACACTTTCATAGTTAGGATATCGTACAATAAGACCTGAATTCATATCCTCTTCACCTGGGTAGGGATTCTCAATGTGTGGCTTGAATACTTGCCATGTGAACGGTAACTCAACGTTCCTGAAATAAATAGAAAATATTTTAGCTCAGGGAATATAACCATTTAAAATTTTCAATATGTTAATTCCCCAGCAGTTCTGTTTAAGCACAACAGGGTTTCCCAAGCTCAATAAAGGTTAGTAATATGTTAATTATTTTTTTAATTGTAACAAAATGAATATGCAAGTTTTACATTAGTAATATACTAATCAGCCACCATAATTGGGCATTTAGCTAGGGTAAACACAGAAGATCATCTGCCTTTTTGATGTTTTTAGTGGACAATCACTGACTGACCTTTTGACGTCTACAGCAGATAATTGTCAACATACATAAAACAGGGCTTTACAATAAATTAAACTGAATTGTATAAAATAAAAGTGGTGAATGATATAAAGACCTGTGAGAGAGATAATGAACTATATAAAAATTGCAAACCACTTAATACATGTAAGACTCACGTTTTATTTCTAACAACCATTGTCTTCTGGGTATATGTCATAGGATTGAGATTATCAAACTTAACAAGATGTTGAGCAGTAGCATCACATAGTTCACCAAGCATTGAAAACTGTTCACCATCAGATACCAAGGATAACTCCACACTAGCAAGCTGTGCTTCACCTACAATTATACAAATAAGGATACATTATTATCTTTCCAGCAGTAACCATGCTGTACAACTCCAGTTCCAGTAGTTTCTGCTTTATTAGAAATATTCGTTAGGGAAATGACATTGCAGAGATATCCATTAGGTTTTAAATTCACTAATTTGTAAATAAAACGATAGATTCTATTGTTGAATTCATGAGGGTTTTAATTCACCTATCACTGATTTAAATATTCATGAGGTTTTAATTCACCTGTCACTGATTTGAATATTCATGAGGTTTTAATTCACCTATCACTGATTTGAATATTCATGAGTGTTTTAATTCACCTGTCACTGATTTGAATATTCATGAGGGTATTAATTCACCTATCACTGATTTCAATATTTATGGGGGTTTTAATTCACCTGTCACTGATTTGAATATTCATGAGTGTTTTAATTCACCTGTCACTGATTTGAATATTCATGAGGGTATTAATTCATAATACATGCAAGATCTCAGAAATATACAAACTTAAACTGACACTACTTAATCCCTCAGATTGCACAATGGAATTAAAAGACACCAATTGTGTTCTTTTTTGCCATTAATCAGTGTTTTGTTGCTTGTTGTAATTTTAAATTTACCACAATGTTATTTAGGGTAATTATATTTAAAAATAAAACTTACCTTTGAGAGTGAAATGTTGTACTTGGCAGTTATCACATATTACAGTGATCTCCTGAGTAAACGTTTTGACGAAGGACGGCTTGAAAACAACCTACAAATATACCATACATGAAAAAACATCACACTAAACAAATTTGCACTATATTTAGCAATAAACACATTACTGTGGAATACCGGTATTTTATCTTCACTTGGAATTAATTTTCGCTATTTTGGCTGAAGGAATGATTCAGTGACAATAAAATCCAATGAATATACTTTTTTCCCTATATTTTACATTCAACTCGTCAAAAATCAGTGAAAATAAAATCCATACAAAATACCCAAAAAGTCTATTCAACAAAAATTAATTCCAGCTAAAATAATTGAAACAGACAATTGGTGGCAATTTTCTTGTATTATGGAAAAATGTGCAAAATGGAAATAGACATACCTCTATTATAGTTGCCTGGTTTGCAGGTAGTTCAAACATGGCAGGTCGTACGTGGAATGGCGGCAAATCAACAACGTTAGATAGTGCCTGTTATAAAACAAAACATTACAAATGATTAACTATGTATAAATAAAATAACATATGACACAAGCTTTGTATCATCTACCCTAACCTTCAGTGTATTCATAATTCATGCTTCTTTAATGTCAATTATTCTTATAACTCTGCAGGAAGCACCCCAAAAAATTATTGAAAGATAAAAAGCCAGTAAACAGTACTCACCCTGAAATGTGGCCACTCTTGCCTTGGCATGATACAAAACCTGCCATGACCACCATAGTTGTTAACAATAAATTGACTAATCTTGACACCACCAACAAGACAGTGTCCACAGTCTATCACTGATGGTACTAAAAATATGAACAACATTATTCAATATTGAGCTAACACTATCAAAAATATCATCATTTAAAAATTGTCATAAACAAATTCATATTATTTATATTATCGGTATTATTGAGATTAATAAAAGAACTACAAATTGATGTTTAAAATCGAAGGACTAGTCGGCAGTATGTTGACTCACACACACAGATATCTACTAATATAATGCTCACATGTTAACAGTGGTGGTGGCCTTCTTCCTTGTAATTTGACTTTTAAAGGTGTACTTGACTGTGTTTGTATAGTTATGAAATCATCATAGTCCATGAGTGAATCTGGTACAAAGCGTATATTATACTGGACACTCATACCAGGTGCAACAATACCTTGCTCTCCCGGGAATTTTCCTGCAAATATAAAAGGATACAATTATAGTAGTACACAAAACATTCCATTTCACACATTGACATTTAAGAAAAATATAGTCAAATTTACCACAAAAAATATAGTTTAGGACAAAAATCTGCTAAAATGTTTTTGTTTAACTTTTGTTTTTTAACTAAGGATTCATGCAAAGAGCTGTTGTTGTAACTACAGATATGAGAGTAAGCAGGTCTATTTATCCAAAATATCAACCAAACATCTGATTAAAAAAATTCAAATTTCAAGCTAAAACAATAATTGTCTAACATCTTCTTCATGCTGTACAACTCATGACTACATTTGGACCAGTGTTATACAGATGACAACTTACCAAGACCAACTGTAAAATACTGTGACTTCGGTGGTATAACACGCAACTGACGACTGGCTGTTGATATATTTTTCAATTCCAAAGTCATTTCATAAACATGACCCACTTGATAATTTGAAAATACCACTGTCTCAGGAGACGCCAGGAATACAACAGATGGCTCCTTCACTCTAAAATAAAACAAGCAATTGCATTAGTCTCAAGTTTAAAAAATATATGTTTGAACATGACTCCTAAATTGCATTCACTAAAACAAGATGGCCACCAGTCAGATATTTTGAATTTGATCTGACAAACAAATTGACATGCAATGTTTCATAAGTTCAATGTACATACCAAGTTTTAACAAAATCTGTCTATGAATGATTGTAGTCTAAGATCTGGGATTGCAGAAATGCTAGATTTTGATGAATTTTTAACACTAAAATGGCCGCCATTCAGCCATCTTGAATTAAATTGTTCAATGAATACATGTGACACGATGTATGATGTATATATAAAGTTTGAACCTGATGCCTATGACATGTCAAAATTAAGGTTTTGGAACTGCATTCATTAAAATAAAATGGCCACCAATCTGCCATTTTTGAATCCGCTCTGAAAAACAAAATGATGTGCATCATACCCATAATGTCCATTGTATGTACAGAGTTTGAACAAAATCCATCCATACACAACTATTATTTGGTTCCAGAATAGCAGAAATAGTTGATTTTGATGAATTTTTAGCTGCTACCTTGAATCGGATTATGAAACGAATGAACATGCACATTTCATTTTCATTTCATAAGATATATGATATATTCGTGAAGTTTGAATGTGATCAAATGCAAAGACGCACACACATGGACAACCACACAGAGGTCAAAACTCACTGTTTGACTACATAATTATTTGTATTAAATACTGGAAATCACTGATATCTAATTTAACTACATGTATCTTGATATTCTATTATATTCCTTGGGTTTTATATTCACAGATTTTGTTGTTCTTGCTGTAATTTGACATGTTCAGAAGGGATGCACTTAACAGATTCAGCAGTGAAAATAGCAATAACAAAAAAAAACAGTAAATAATTAATTTGTTTACAATAAGTGTATATCATAAAAACTATGAATAGAAAGAGAAAAAACGGAAAACTGCAGAAAAGAACTTACTTTGCTGTTTCTATGACCTGTGCCTTTGCTCCACCAAGTTTATGTTTGATTGTGTTGGGTTTTATTAAAGTTTTCGAACCTTCTGGTGCAGATGGAGGTCTATGCCTGGGATTTCGTAGAAAATCTGATCTGTGATGTAAAAGGGCTAAATCTGTCCTGTCAATTTCTCTCTTTGCAGGATGCATGTGTTCTTTCCAGTTATCCAAGCTTGTTTTTTCTGGCTTGGACTAAGATAAGAAAAATGCAATGGATCAGTTGCAGTCATTGTACATTACAATTTCACCTGCCAAAACATTTTGCACATTTTTTCTACAATACAATTTGACATAATTTCCTATTCAACTTCCCAAGAGGCTTTGTGCGTTTCATTCGACCCTCATTCTGAACAATAATACGACAGCAGCTCCTTTCAAAACTCAACGTATTGTTCTTTTAAAGCTGCTAGTGAATATTCAGTCAAAAAATTTGCTTGTTTTGTCTCAAAAGTTGACTTCGGCTTACAGGAAGTGGAAATTATCTTTCTTGAGACTTACCCTACTATCTTCTTCTATCTTTGGTAAAACTGGTTTAATTCCTTCAATATGTTTTGTGGAAGTCACAGTTTCTTTTGCATAGTGTGGTCTGGATGAGGCTATCAGAATAAATGAGATGGATAGGTGGTAAAATTAACAATTTTTATTCTATTTAATCCAATGCAGGTATTAAGCTGTATCTTTCATTGAGGCACACATATGTATTGCTCTATTGAGAATGATCCAGTATACAATAAATGTAATTTTTAGTTTATGTGAACTTCTATTGGAGATGTATTTCTAATATGGTAACTAACAATAACTCTTATCATATCAGTGAGTCATGTGACTCCATGATGGAGGAGAGGCGTTTCATGTAAAGAAGGTGATGTCTTCCCCAATGATCACCACTTTAATCACACAGTATGGAAAATCAAGAATAAAAATATTACCTCTGGGAGGCGGTGCTAGAGGCGGTTCAGCAGTGGAGAAATCTTCAGGTACAATCAAATGATGTTGCTTTAACATTTCACTGTCTAAACAATACTTATAATTGGACTCCACTAGAAATAAACAAATAACTATATTAACATGCGACAATCACAAAAATGAGGGTGAACAATTTAACAAATATGAAATACGTTTCATAATATCTGTTTATTAACTTTTATTTGCTACAATGATATAGAACATGTGAGCAGGTCTCCATCCAAGATCTGACAATTCAATGGTTCCCTTTTATTACAGGAAAACCTACTAAAACTAAAAACCAATGGTACAAGAATTTTTAGCATTTTGGATTTGACTATTAGAAACTTGAGGAAGGGAGATGGTAGCAAAATAATTTGTGCAAATAATTGTTTTCTTTCATTTATTTCTGAGCTAGATATTTTTCTTCAGGAAGCCATAGCTGACAATTTTTTTTGTTTTGGCATTTTTAAAGAGATATTACTATGATCAAAATATTTTAATGATTCAGTGTAAAACAATGTTTGGTTTATATGCTCTTCTATTGAACATGCACTTCTAATAGATACAGTAATAAAGTATTGTTTTGTTTTTCTTAAACCATCCTTCCATAGACTATAGAGATTGAAGACACTGGAAAAATGCATTTGGGGTTACTTACACAAGTTTTACTCAAATTATCACTCTGTACATACCTGGAGGTAATCCTAAATTATGATAAATATTGTGTCCTTCTGCGGCTTTGTTTAAGTCTCTCTCATCAGCTGACATGGCACGTGCCCGTGCTTGCATGATGTGGCGCTCTAACATAGCAGCCTCTGCCATTCTTCGTTCCCGCTCGGCTTGCACCTACAATTAACAATTAAAACAGTTAAATGGGACAAAACTGTTCACAGTGATTTAATTTATTAGTGACAGCAATCCACTGTGGATCACACATTTGACTATGAAATGAAAAATGATTCATGGAGTCCATTACTAGTCCAGTACCTTTCTAAGTTGTTCAACATATCTCTCATGGTATTCATCATCGGTACTGCGGGATATATTCAAATTCTTGACTCTTTCCTGTTCTACAAAATCGCGGGTGAATAATTCCCGGAATGTACTAGCAAGGATATGAGTGACATCTTGAGACTTTCCAGATGATGGCCTCTGTAAGTACATAGGAGGCTCAGAATCCGGAAGCCGATTAACTTTGGCCGACATCTGTGGAGACAAATATTAGCCTTAGTTGATTTGGTTTACAAATCATGATACATGTATTTACACTATTTTGTTTACTGGAAAGGTTTTATAAAGTCAATGCAGAAGTTTAGCTGTTCGTGAATGCAATAACTAACTTCTTCTAATAATGTAATTGTAAACAATGTTCCGTTGTTAGATTTTTTATAAATTATTGATATACACAGGATTTACAAATTCAAATTTCGTGATCGAGAGTGTGGGCTCGGTACGCATATTTCAAATCTCCATGATTGAAAAGAAGCAGTTATTCCGAGCTCAGATCATTGAACAAGGACTTCCTATTATCGGAAGCTGCCCGGCAGTGCCACAATATATCGTATCGTAGGGTGTATAGTGCATAGCACGACTAAAACTGTAAAAAACAGAACATATCCTCACCTTTCTGGCAAAATCTATGAAGCTATTACAATAAATTCAACTCTTTTTCAAAAATATTGACGGTCTATTTACAATTTGGCCGCCATGTTTGTTGCTAAGATCCCGTTTGTTGGTACCACATTTATCTACTCAAAAAAGGTTTAAATTGTGTTAGCGCCCTCGTATATATATCTAATATATCTACTGTTTTTAAGTAGATGTCCTCTCAAAAATTAAAAACGTTACCAGCAATTTTTAATATATTATGCTACGCCAAAGTTACAATTATACGACCTTTACAGTAAAATAGATACACAAATGAATTTATGTTTTGTTAGACAAATGATTTATTTGAATTAAATAAAATATCAAGATATTTAAATATACAAAAATAAACCGAAAAGTCGAGCGTACATTTTTACCCGAGATATGTATTGGATAAACCACCTCGTACGCGAGATTTTTTAGACATACTAGTAAAGTTTATATCCCAGAAGACTGTGCGTACGAGGTGCTTTGTCTGACTTATCTGACTGACCTTATAAACAAAACACGGCACAAATATACATTTGGAGAAAGTATGATAGTACGTGTACTTTGAAGGACATTTGGTGAATCCGGTCAACAACCCTACATGGTGTAACATTAAGGCCTGGGATTAAGGGTACGAACGCAATTCGAATTCAGCGGCCGCAACATAAAGACTGTATATGTTAAATCGCGTCCCTTGAACTCGACTTGCTCAGGCTCAACTCCGTGTTCAGACCAAAGAAACATATTAGACTCAATGAACAATCTGATTGGTTCAGAAGATCTAGGCACACACACGACGAAATAAAACCCACTGTTTCCCGCATAACACCAATTTTATATATAATATGTAATTTCTACTATTATAATTTGTTTTTTATTACATGCTTTTAGTTTGTATCATTTTAACAAATAAAAATTTAATTAAAATTAAACGAAAAAAAAAAATAATGCCCAAATAATGATTTTTTTTAATCAGATTGTCATCGCATAGTCAAAATGCTGTGAAATAATTTATATTGTTATACGTCTATATACCAGAACCTTTTCACGATAATCACGAGTGTGTTTTGTTTACGCTCGGGTGAGTGACATTGCTGAAACCACATAAACAATAGCAGGGGTGGATACAGGATTTTTTTATGGAAGTGTCATGAATTTGTTTTTGCGTACTGTTGACCGATTATTAGCGAATTGCTGTGTTATGTCTGTCATCGTTTAGGTCTATTTGAAGTTTTGGACGGAACTTGGCTCAGTGATTTGGAACAAATTACCAGATAACCGTCGCGATTCTGACAGTTGGTATTCCATAGTCATTAATGTAGTGAACGATTAATCAAAAGATATGACGTATTCAGTACTTAGTGTGATTGGCTTTATGATTGAAGGTTACGCCCTAGAGTCTTTTTACTGCTTTGTAATTGGTTAGAGTTTTGAAAATGAATAAAGAGAGTTTGAGTTGGTCTTGGCGAATACTCCACGACAGACGCAGTCGAGAATCCAGTCCAGGGGCGAGCCTTGAGGCAGTCCAGTCTTGGGCGAGTCTTGGTTCAGCCTTGTGAGAGTCTAGGGGACTTTTCCCCAGGGCGCTGTGTCTTATAGAGTGCTCCAAAAGATCGACTAAGACGAGAGCTGAAACGTATTTCGTTGTGTGTGTCTTATTTGACTGTAAAGTTAAAGTGACTTTCCCGATCCCGTACCTCAAGGGGACGAGATATAGAGACGAGACGAGTTTCCCCCCTGACACGTGTGGAGAACCCCGAGAGAAGAGATTTTCCCCCTGATAGAAGGGTCAAAACTTTAAAATCGCCAGACTAAGTTAGTGATTTGTTTATAATATACAAAAACAATTTGAATAAATTTTTCAACGGGGGGG